CTGTCGGAGTGGTTGGTATTAAAGTTTAAGTGAGGAAAGCCGGTCTAAAATTGGTGATAGAAGCTCTAGAGACTTTTAAAGGATAGGGTAGCATTGGTCGTTGTACTTAATCAAGTTGGTGCCTAAAATATGTTACTGGCCGACTAGGCGCTTGTTTGCTTAGGTGGCCTTAATAAAGCTTTCCTTCACTAGTTTTTAATGTAGTAGTTTGTTCTTCCTGTTTAGATTTTAGATGTTAATTAGTCCCTGAGGTCATACTATCTTACGCTTAACTAAGCAGCTATAGGCTCTTTAGAGCTAGGGCTTTCTTAGGTGGCGGCCGACCCTGTAGATTCGGTTATAGCATAGACTAGGCGTCTTAATGGGGACGATTATGCATTTAAAATGCGGTTTCTATGTCGAGTACTATGGTCTTCTTATAAGTCAGGCTACTATAGATAAACTACGAACCTCTTGTATTTACGCTAGTGGAGTGGAAAAACCTAGTGGGGAAATGAGTTTCTGGACAACTCTTAGGGTCAATACTTGTGTTTGCTAGTTTTATCTAGATTCATATCGAGAAATGCAACTAGAATCATCTCGATTCAAATATGCCAAATATATAAAGCTCTATGTCTCGTTGTCTTGCCTTTCTATCCCTCCTCCTAGTTTCAATTGTGACTATTCTCTATTAAGCTAGACTGTTTAGGCCTATTACAGGGACGCAAATATGATAACAGTGTAGAACAGATCGCCTCGTTACAATGAGCTATCTGGAATGGAGATCACGGGCTTTGTGGTGTTTTCAGCTTCCTCTGATGGAGCTGATATAAATTCCGAAGTGAAGCGGTCTCTATACTTATGGCCAAAGGTAGAAAAAGCCCCTTTGGTCTATGGTAGGGGAGATGCTGATATATGTGCGCGGTTTTTGCGGTGTGGGACTGAGGAAAGCGATGTAGTAGGTTTGCCAAAGAGTATATTAAACTAAGGCTGATAAATAGAAGTTCACTCGGAAAATCAAGGAGGCTATAGGCGAAGTTGGCTTTACCTGTTGTTAAGGCCCTGTTATTGTTATCTCCTCCGAAAAACACTCATGGGGCACCAGGCTTGCGTACCTATCTTATCCTGCGGTATCTGTCTTTTGGGATCTTTTGAATATCGACGAAATTAGAGTGACTTTCATACTATACCTATAGGATTTAACGAAAGAGGAAACGCGGGAAAGCTAACTAGTTAAGCGGAAGCTATGGCCGAACGAAATCCTTTTTGTAAAAGGATCGGTTAGAATAGAGATAGAGGTTCCTACTGGAGGCTCCTTTGTCTAGTAAGGGAGTACTGGCGCACTAATGGGGCCTGATATATATGGGCCAGAGGTTTTTGAATTTATAACGGTTTAGGTAGCTCGCGTCCTAGGGAATCGGTAGTATTAGATGTAGAACCTAGATAAAGAATTATGTTAGTTATAAGATATAATAAAGGATATGAGTTACTACTAATGCCTGATACCTAGACTTAAAATATAGAAGTCGTTGTGTATTAATAAGAATATTAGTATGGCTAGCTCTTAGAAGCTGTATGGCTTTAGCTTCTTCGATAAGAGATAATCGGTGGAAAGTAGGTAAGACTGGGGCGAATAGAAGTGTAATTCCCTTACTAAACTTAATCTTAAACCTTCTAAGCTTTCGCCCCTATTGAAGAGTACTATAAGTATTATGATCGCTTAACCGCCCTAGGTAACGAAGGAAAGACGGTATCGACTAGATACCGCGGACCTGTCTCTTAGGATATGTACGCTCTAATCCTTACGTCTGTAGCTATTCTTCCTCTTCTAAGGCTAGAGAAGACTATTGAAGGATGGTTTGTAGGCGTACGATCTATAAGTGTGAGCTCGCACTATGTGAAATAAAATCTACGGCTGTGCTGGTTTCCGTAATAGCTGGAGAGAGGTCGGCTTCCAAAAACCTTGAAAAATGTTCTATCTGAATGGATAGGTTGTGAAGCAGACCTTCTGTAGTGACTGGTGGATTGCGGCGAACTGGCATTGTTAATATGTGAAAGTGGGAGTCGCTCAGGTCGGTTAAGTCCCCCCTGCCGCTGACTCAGAAACCTAGAAGGTGACTAAATGGGTATAGTATAGAATGTATCCATGTAGGGTTAGTTGGTTACTCAGAATATAGACCTGCCTAGGCTCTATGATAGTAGATGTATGCCCCTGAAATGGGTATCTTTGTGATAATGGCTCTAATATATAAGCTATACTTGCCAGAGAACCGGGGATCTATATACTACCTATTAACTATAGTAAATATCTTTGCGAACCGATCCGTGTTAAGGCTTAATATCTTTACGCTACTAATGGTGTGTTTCGGGGTCTCGAAGGTATGGGCAAACTCTGTTTAGCAGATTAAAACAAATTGACTAACTGCTTAGGCCGACACTGAAGATTACCTAATAGAACTACCGGATTCCCTTCCCTTGGGGAACATTGAGACTCAACTGGGCAAGATCTACCCTCTGAACATATAAGGACAGCCAAGTAGCCCGCTAGACATGAGACTTCATTATGGTGGAGTATCTATTCAAGGAGAAGATCTAATGCGCCTTAGCGGAGGTCTTAGCGCTTCGCCGCATGGAGAAGCAAGTGATCCCGCGCTACTAAAGGGAAATGTTACCAAGGTTTTGTCTATCGAGTATCCGGGAGCTTTGGCTTTGAGCGAAGCAAATCTATGTGTTGTAGTTGAGTCACAAGGGAAGCAAATAAAGGGGTGGTATAAATATGAGAAAATTGGAAAGAGTAATGGTATAAGGAAGGCGCTAGAAGAATTTGGACCTACGTGGCGATAAGGAACACAGCGTTATAATGCACGGTATACTCGGTGACCAATACGGATTAAATGGGGATATAGTGGAAAGAGGGTATATATTCTGAGCTATACTACTTCTGGACATAGGGTCGCGTTCTTAGTACCCAAATTTGCAGCTGAATTGCTATATTTCATATCGCTACCTCAATACTGCTTGTGGTTACTGGCTAAATTAACCGATATACCGAATGGCCTTGACAGATTTAACGAGTAATAACGCTAGTTAAGGTCTGGGGATGGAATAATGTCTTTGTAGGGCATGTATTCTGAGCTATACTGTTTTAGGACGATATGACCTTTGGACATTTTTGTGCGTTATTGGCGGTGTCCGTTTATTGCTTACAATCAGGTTTCTCCCCTATAAGAAGCTACTTACCACCTTAGAAAAATCAGGGTTCTGCCGAATACCAAGGGTTCCAATCACGCTAGCAGAGACTAGTATATAAGTTCTTTCAAATGGAACCACTCTAAGTCAGTGTATATCCTTCTTACCTACCAGAATGTTACTAAAGCCAACTATATAGACTATGCGTATCTAATCTAATTTTAAATGCGATCTTTGTAACCAATAATCCGACGTATATGGTGCCCTCGCTCATTTCACCACGGATATTCCGCCAGGGGAGGATAGCAAGGTTTTCATTGCTATTCTACTTGGCAAAGGTCAGTTTGACCTAGCAGTGGACCAAGCTATTGTTAGACGAGTCAAATCCCACCACACCGATCTGAGCTATTTACGGTTGTTAAACTCCGATCCACTTTTTGCTGCCGAGTTCGGTCGTTCGTATGCTGAGACCGCGTTTCATGCTTTAAGTGAAATGATAACCAAATACACTATAGCAGCGGGTTCAGTCAATATTCTAAATGACCAACGCTGTATCAACTGGTTTGAGGCCCAAATGGAGTGCTTTTACGAACTCCAAACCCATTTTTACAAACAAACTTTGCCATGAAATTTTTCTGTAAAATTTCGTGTGCATAAGAGACAAAGTGCAGCAAGGCCTGGACTTCGAAGAGCAGAGGAACCTCTGGCAACACCGCATGTAACTAGCACCTGAATTAATGCACCAGATGATCTGCCCAAAGACACGCTAATCCATATCAAAAGTGGTATCGGAATATTGATATTCCCGTATTTACGAATGCAATTTCTGATGGGAAGTAGTTCCGTCCTAACGTCGAGTGATTCGTATCAGACATTGATCCATGTCAGCAGACCCAGGTCACGTGGACAAGTTCTTAGATATCGTTCAATCTCCGCACCTGATGCCATCGTCAATAAAGAAAACCATCTCCTAGTTCTCGAACTCCCTGCTAGGAATATCAGAAACTGTTAGGATTTCTTTTTTTTTTTGCCGCTATAATGCGGAATACTTTACAAATGCCACCATCCGGAGATAGGCAGATCCACGATCTTCTGCTATATCTATCTCGACCCGGTCAAATTTTCAAGTTTGACGACGACGATAATACATCGGTCTTCCTCGGTGAAACATCTGATCCGGATTCCCCCGAGACCAGCCTTCAACAAAAGCAGGCCGAAAATTATCTGAAGAGAATAGCGCAGAATGAGAATTTGCGAAAGAGGATATATATTGCTCGAGAAGAACCACTATTATCAAATTGAATTTGATGAGATAGAGCTTCCACATGATGTACACTGAAAGTACAACGATGACCTCGAACCGGTTCTTATTGATAGCTTGGATGAGAGGTACTAAGAGCAAGGTGGATGGTTGAATCCACCCCCTATCGGAGGCGCAGAACCATTGATCTTAATTCCATGTCTTGGAGAGAAGTTTAACAAATACGATATTCTTGAATTGTTGAGATAGTCTTCTAAGAAACCCTAGTGTTTGATACTCCTCTCTCTTAGTTAGCTAATGCAACCAATGGTTTTCTTTCCCATTTCCCCTATCCATCCCAGAGAATACTTGCATCAAGGTTTTTTGCGGTCCATAGTAAATACGGCGCGCTTACCTTTCCAGATTCAATACCGAGAGCATGTCTAGCTAAGTTTGATTTGAAAGTAATTTGACCGTGACGGCGTCTCGATCATTTGGAAATTAGTTGTTCCATATTCGCATCCTGCAGTATGCTTTTGCGGCAAAATAGACGCTTCTTAGTCCAGATAATCCAGAACATGATATACATGGTTTATCCCGCAAAGGGTAGGCATTTGATATGTCCTGTGGATGGTGCTCGGCAGATAGGACAACTCTTTGGGGTTTCGAGCTTTTCCGCGCACGACTCGCAAACCATGTGCCCACATAGAATTGTCACCCAGTGATCTGGTTGCATATAACAGATCTTGCACTCCAAAACACGCCTTTCTCTTTCCCTGGAAAGATCCACTTGCGCCTTTTGGTACCTCTCCTTCTCCTGGCTAAGTTCATCTTGACGCATTCGATTTTCCTTTTTCAACCGTTTTACTTTATGGCGGACTTCCTTGTTAAGCAGCTGGAAAGCGTTGTCCTAATGAATTATTAGATAAGGACGAAGAAGAGGGTGTGAGGAATAAGTACCAAAGCAGACGGCTTCTTCTTTTCGGTTCTTTTGCGTTTCCGCGATCGAGTCTCATTATCGGCTGCATCGATAAACATGCTCTCGGAATCTTCGTAGCTGTAATTATAGCGAGGTGCCCTCTGAGGTCGTGAGCTACCTGGCTGGAGATTTGGCAGTTCCTCGTCATCGGCTATAATAATAGTGTTGGAATGGCTTGCCATCGTGGCCCGGTGTTTATATCGGAGGAATGTTAATCCAGACGGGTGTAGGAAGAGAAAAAGAAAATATTACAGTAAGTAACGGGCTAGGGGAAGAACTTTATACCTAAGACTAACAGTGTCTGACATAGCCCCGGCACTTGATAGGACACTGGTGAGTAGCATTGTATGGTTGGATGTCAAGCCCACTTACGTCGAGCAATTAAACTCTCCGGTCTAGGATAGATGTCTCTCTATCGATATTGTTTAACGGTAACAGGGATGCGATACAGGTGGAGAACCAATCGAGAAAACATTGTATCATCATTTATAAATGGAATGCAGAAATGGATGGTAAAAGTTCATAAGGAAGCCCATAGTGGTTAATGCGTAAGCATAATAGATAGAAGAGGACTATGGGAAGATGCAATCGTTCAGAAAATAAGGCAAGTCTGGCAATTTCTAAGCTAAGCTAAACTATAAAATAAGACTGAAAGTAATATGTGAGGCCAGCTTATCAGAAATAATACGAAAGTAAAAAATTTGGCTTAACACCGGCTTATAATAAGACTAAAGGAATGTATAAAATCACAAGTGCTTATTATGCTATGCGCCCACGGTTACCTCGGCGTCGTCTCTGTTGCGATTCTTGCGTTTCTTGAGTGGGTATCGGGCTGCGTATCTTTAGGAGCCGAATCTGACGCTCAAGCTCTTTTATCTCTGTCGCTGAGTCCTTTCTTATCTTATAAGTTGAATTTCGTCCCTGTGTAGATAAGGCTAGGCCACGAGCTGGCTTACTGCGGTATCTTCTGTTATGGTTGTAACTTAACTGAATAGAGGCGTCGCTCCTATCGTCGCTACTTTCACTGGTCTTAAAGTGATTCCTTGTCTTTGATCTGCGTTGGTTCGAGTAGCGTATAGGCTCGCTAACTTCACTATTATAATCTTTATTAATATTGTCTAAGCTATACTTTCTGCGATAAGTATCCTCGAGCTCCTCGGCTTTCTGATAAATCACTCTATCACTATCTAAGGCAGAGCCGGCTGTAATATAACGGATGAAAGTTCGCCCTTCTAAAGTAAACTAACCGTCTTTCTATTTAATAAGTATCCGAGTTTGTGGATATACTATGCCTTTAATAGGTAGTAATAGATTGAGAGGATTAAGCCCCTACTTATTATTGTCTTCGATCTTCTAACTGATACTAATGAAGTCCTCCACGTCCTTTCGCTGGTATTTCTAAAACTCCTTAGGAAGCCTGTTCCTTATCCCGGTTACTTTAGCGGTGCCGCGAGTCTTTGTGGTTAAAATACGTTTAACCTGACTTAGGTTATAGCTCTTATATAATCTAGCCTGAATATGATAGATCGGTATAGACCGGCTTCTGTAGTGTATAAAGATCTGAGAGCTAGTACCTTTAGGCTACTAATATAATACTTTAGCCGAATACAATTGGTATTACTATTTTATGGTTCTCGCTTCTAGGGTATTAAGTCCTATAGGCTAATTACTGTCGATATTAATATCTGATTCGGCACTAGACTTTTTACTAGCTAAGGGCTAGCGAGTCTAGTTGGGCTAACTCTCGCTACTATCGGAAGTAGAGTCGGTATCTTCTATAATATTAGGATTTATTGCCCCGATCTATTGCTTGGCCTATACTTAACTGATATTCTAGTTCTTAGGAAGATAATATCTTTTATTAAAGATCTTTAGAAGAGCGCGTGTCTTATTATAAGCTACCTAAAACTCCTCTAAGGAGCCTTTTACTACTACCTTACTTACTTCTTCCTACTAGGTCTTATATAGGGTATTGTAGCTAGACTCGGGGATGATACCGGTATTAAGGTTGGTGATATTGTGGTCTTTATTAACGCCCCGAATGTATTGGTTTAGTCTTTAAAAGAATTGTTGATATCTTTTGTACTGAGGGCTTGGGGATGTGAAGAACTCCTTAACTATTCTTTCCGACTCTTATGATATCTCGCTGCGAATGATATCCTTAACCTAGCGGCTTAGCGGGTCTAGTTTATATTTAATAGGAGTATCTTGATTAGAAGTATCCCCTAGTTCGCTATCTGTTTCGTTATTTGATTTGTGGTCACCCGTATTTGGGGTAAAGTCATCTAGGAGTATTAGGCTTCTAACAAATCTCGCCTTCTGTTCGGGAGCTTTGCCCTTCTTATTTTAGCTATGCTCTTACCTCAATTCTTATGCTCTCGAGGATTCAGGTTGATGGGATTCGGAGTCTGAGCTCACTTCTGTGGGTACGGGTGTTTGGATATCACGGGCATTTCGCTAGGCCTTTTGGGCCTTCTTTCTCGACTTTTTAACCATATTGATTCTTAAAGCCTAGTCAACTTCCCTGTATTCGGAGAAAAAAGACTCAATTTATATTTCAAGCCCGCGGTGGTAATTATACGTATTTCAAAATCAATGCTGCAGGGTGAAAACTATGCTATAGGCCAGAAATCATGCTGCAGGCCAGAAAGTATGCTGCGGGCCAGAAAGTATGCTGTAGGCCAGAAAGTATGCTGTGGGCCAGAAAGTATGCTGCAGGCCAGAAATAATGATGCAGGGTGAAAGCTATGCTGCAGGCCAGAAAATATGCTGCGAAGGACGATGATGCATGCACAAATTGTTTTGTGAGAGACTTCATCCCCAAATTTCTATAGTAATTGGGCTACCAGTTTGAAAAGGAATTGTGTTATAGTATATTTTTGTCCATTCTGGCCTAGTCTGGCACACGAGCTGGAACTATCTTAAAACTTCTGATGGCAGTAAAGCTTTAAATTCAAGATAAGACTATAGAAAAGTACCTCAACGAAATATAAAGCTCTAACAGCGATTCTCACTTGGTCTCAGATGTAGTATCTTATAAGAAAGCCATCATTTGCCCTAATATACTCGAGCACTGTAAACATTTGGTCTGATACCACTCGGTAACGGCTATCTAGTTCAAAATGTCCTGCTAGTAAAGATAAATGGTTATTTGCGCTTCCTAAATGACTGAATTCTGATCTTTTATCTCGGCTTCCGCTTATTTTGCCGCCTCCTCGAAGCGAGATGCTTTGTCTTCGGCTGCCCTAAGTTTCTCTATAAGACTAAGGTTTTTAAATTATATATAAGCAACATTTTCAAGGTCCGTTTGCTTTTTGCGCTATAAGAACCCTTATAAGTTTAATGAATTATCCTAAAGGGTTATTAAGTTTACCTTTATAGGAACTGTATAAAACGTTTAACCTACCTCGCAGTGAAGCTGTATGTAGGCCCCTACCGAGTATTTACTTATATACTTCTGAAAAAGAGGCTTAAGCGATAGATTATCTATCTACTATATATAGAGACATTCGTCCTCTATCTTTAATTAGACCTCGGAAGGGTCTACTTTAAGATTAAGCCTCTTAACTAGTCAGAGATATTAGTAGGTTTAATTTTAAAAAATCTGTGGAGCTTATATATATACTAAGCGAGTCGCGTCCTATAAGTTGATCGCTAAACAGCCCGCTTTTTATTACCTAGAAGTTGAATTTGTTTATCTATCTTGGTCGAAATCAGGTATTAATGATAGAACGGCTTAGCTGCTTTATATATTACTACTTCCTCTGCAACCCGTTTTAGGTACTGTAGTCTTAGGAGGTATACATTTAGTTTTAACCTAAGTATATAGATAAAGTGATACGTTACTAAATCCTTAAGGCCCTAGCTTATGTTTAACTTATTTACTTCTATAAAACCTTTGATAACATTTACACTGTACGGTAATAATATATAAAGTAATATTCCGGAACTACAGTGACGATGTATAATTTAAGCACCCCTTTGGTTACCGCCTTCTAAGAGAAATATACCGCCTAACCAAATAGCCCTTAAACAATCATACCGATCAACCTTTTAAATATTTGATTAGGTGAGGTTAGGGCGGGCAGTATTAGGGTATTCAAACTTATATACCGTCACTGTATACCAATGGTATATCTTGGTATTAGAGTCTAAGAACCAATCGAAGAGTGTAGGTAGTAATACTAGTTTCGGGACGCAATATAACTGTTCTAACTTCTCAGGGATTATTCGTAAACATTCTTCTGGAGAGTGTATAAAAGACTCATTGAAATTATACGATTATATACGATCTCCTGTAAGTACAAGACATTCTTATAGGCCAATATTCCTAGAGCAGATAAAGGACTTAGACAAAGTTTTGAGCTCAGACTCGCTATCTATATTCCATATTTCATAATACAATTAATTTCTATCTTTAAAATATATATATAGCACTCTCCTATCTTAGGCTTTTAGGAACTTTCTTAAGTTAAAGCCTATAAGCCAATACTTTACTAATTCAAGCCGCCGTAAGGAAGGTAAAGGGATAGAGGATATAAACCCTAGAAACCCTGGGCTTTCTATTAGCGTTAAGCTCTTAACTTTTGCTAAAGCAGCCTTTACAATTTCTAGGATATTATTATCTTTAGTAGCCAGTTTAGAATATATCCTATTAATCTTTATACATTTTAAGGTTAATCCTATAGACTGAGTAATAGCCATACCCCTAAGTACTGCCTTAAGGTAAACGAAAAGTAAGTCTCTAAGAAATACTCGATTAAAGAACCAAAGAAGCTGATCTTCCTTTACTTTATAGAAGGAGAGCTTAATAGTATTTAGATTAGAGAGATACCGAAGTAATTCTATAAATATATAGATATCCGTCCGCTCTTTTAAGAGTAAACTCTAAGCTCTTATAAGTCCTTTAAAATATCGAAATATTACCTTATAGGAAAATTGCTTTCCTCGGAGCTCCTACCAGAAATCTTCCTAATCTCTTATATACTCCTATAGTATATAAATATAAGTAGAAAAATAGTCCCAATATAGGATTACTGAAAGGATTAGTAAGGAGCCAGATAAAGAGCTAAACAATCATATATATAGGTCGACCAATTCTAATATATTATAATGAAGTACTCTTACGCATTATACTAATAAAGAAATTACGAGCCCTTTTAGCTTCTTTATCCCTTTTTCT